TATGCTACCCTGCGTTTCTTTTTCCTTTCAGTATACATGTACGACAAGTTTTGCAATATGACTTCAAATCTACACCAATATTTTAGCCATGAACACATTTTATGATCACGTGACATACACTTCACTATGATAACATCATAATCAATCAAGATTACGATTAATCGTATAATGAACAAGAATAGATATGGGTTACCCCATATCCAAAGATATTCGACTGTTAGATTTAATATGTTTAACAGTGTTTATAATGACGTTAATAAAAAAAAACTGCACTGTCTAATTATGGAACTGTTGTAAATATCGTGATTCCATAGCATTACGGTCACCCAGTCTCCTAACAAACAGTACACATAGGCCTACATGTACCTGTAGCCTTGGTCTACACACGTGCAATGGAGCTGTCACACGCATCCAGCGAGCTCGGAGAAACACGTTTTGTTTTGCCGAGAAGTTACGGTGTCAGACAAAACTTTTCTTTTCTTAATTAGATCATATAAATACGAATTCTGATTAATAAAAATTATACAATCCCTGTTGAACTTTATATAGTTTGTTCTAACATTTGCATCTGCAACAACTTGTGTTTAAAATGGCCGGGTTGGGAAAATCAGGACTGGGTCGGAAAATCCTAAACTGAAAATATGGAAAACCTTTTTTGTTTTGAAAATAACTGAAATATACTAATATATTTGTCGCAGAAATTACTTACATTATTCAAGTTCTATATATAATGGTATGCTGAACTTCAACACGAACCCGAATCTCCAACCCATGCAGTTCTCGTTTTGCCACACATACCCTACAGTTTACAAAGTGTACACACGAGCAGGCCAGGGATTGAAAATTCCGTCATTTAATAATACACACACACAGAATGATTAATTTTTTCTTTAAGAACAAATTGTATGATAATTAACGGACTATAAACATGTACTTAATACAATTGTTGATATAGTATTATCAATTCATTGGTGAAAAGATATGAATCGAAGAATGACCTAATTATTCTCTGTTATCAAACACGTAAAAAAAAAGGCTGAGGAGGGAGCGAGCGTAGGAATATTGATATTTTTTATTTGCATTTCGGGGGGAAAGTGACTTTCTAATGATATTTTGACGTTATTTTTTATTTCTTTAACCTATGACATACACAACTTTACTCTTATCATGAACAATAATGTTGTATCTACTTATCATGATGGAATTATTTTGGTCGGACCAATATGTGTGAGCTGCCGCTGAATACAGTTATATATCTTGCAAAGATAGTATGCATTGATCGAATATATAGAAAATAAAGATTCACAATCAAGTATTATTTATCGATATTATATTTTTAAAAAAGGTGACAACCCCCTAACTGTATACTGTATACATATTATTTACATACTGTTCCAGCTTAAAAATAATACAAATATTTATTTTTAAAAATTATGCATTTAATAGAGTATTTAACATAACAGTGTTCCTAATTTAGTTTCTAAGAAGATTTAATAAATTCATGTACATATGAATATATTTCGCAATTTGTTTTATAAGCATATTGACAATGTCCTTTTGGTAAAATGTCGAGATCAAAAAGAACATCAATATCATTTAATTTTTTTACCAATAAGTTTCTTTCAACATTATGTGATGGACAGTTGATAAGATAATGTTCAATATCTTCAGTATGAAATCCTCACTTCTGACATGATTGAATATCTGATAAAAAAATCTAAAAAATAAATTATTTTTCTTAAATGTATGGAATGCCATATACGACAGCCAACTGCTTACTGCCAACTGCTGACTGCTTACTACCAACTGTCAGCTGCTTACTGCTAACTGCCACACATATTTGAATAAATTTTATTTTTATATTCATATTTATGTGAATTTTCCAAAATAAAAAAACAAAAACAGGAGCGGATATAGAACATTTTTTCCAAGAGGGTCACTCATGTTAAAATAGATCCAACCAAGAAATTTCATGACAAGAAAAAAAAAACGTATAAAGTTCTTTCCTTAATGTGAAAATTTATTTCGGTCGGGGGGAGGGGGTTCTCATGCGTCATACCTTCATGTCAATGGCATTTTTTATATCAACTTAATTAACACGAATCCGCGTTTTCCGGGGGGTGGGGGTTCTTAGGTCCCTTTTAGTTGATTTATTTTATACATTGAATAACTTTTAGTTGGTTTAGTTTGTGCATTAGATAACTTTACAAATTTCAGAGGGGTGGTCCGGACCTCTCTCTCTCTCTCTAGATGTATGCATGTAAACCATTATCTTATTTTTAAAAACAAAGAGATATAAATGTTTGATTGGCGTTTTCTAAGTGGAGGGTCCAAGGTCAGTCATAGTTCGTTTAGTTTATACATTAACCCATGACTGTACAAATTTTAAATGCCCCCCACCCCACCCCCAAGATCTTTGCATGTGAAACATTATAACACAGAGAGATATAAATCTTTAATTTGAGGAAATTTTTAACTATAGAATATAATGGAAAATGTTAACTTATTTTCAAAACATCTTTATCTGCGAAACGACAAATCTTTTTTTTTTAATTTCCTCTCTTCAAAGGTCTGTTGTCTCCGGGGTGTTGGGGGTGTTACTTCTTTAAAGATTAAAAGCAGAAAAAAGTCATTTTATTACCTATTTAAAATAAGAAAATAAATATAAAGATAAACAATTTACTTTATCAATGGCACATATTGAATATTACATAAATTAAAACATAGTGGTCATTTAGTCAATTTAATTTTACCAGGGTGACCTCTTGGAAAAAAATGTCCTGGATCCGCGCCTTTTTTTTTTTTTTTTTTGTCTTGTTCTTTTTGAAAATTCATAAAAACATCTATGGAATGCCATATACGACAGCCAGCTGCTTACTGGCAACTGCTGACTGCTTACTGCCAACTGTCAGCTGCTTACTGCCAACTGCCACACATATTTGAATAAATTTTATTTTCATATTGATTTATGTAAATTTTAAAAAAAGGCGCGGATCTATAGGACATTTTTTCAAAGAGGGTAACTCTGGTAAAAAAAATCCAACCCAGAAATTTCTTGACAAGAAAAAAATACGTAAAGTCCTTTTCTAAATTTGAAAAATTTATTTCGGCCGGGGAGAGGGGATTTTTATGCGTCATACCTTCATGTGTATGACATTTTTCATACCAACTTAACACGAATCTACATTTTCGGTTGGGGAGGGGGGGGGGTTCTAAGGTCCCTTTTAGTTGATTTATTTTATACATTAAATAACTTTTAGTTGGTTTAGTTTGTGCATTAAATAACTTTACAAATTTCAGAGGGGTGTTCCGGACCCCTCTTCTTGATCTATGCATGTAAAACATATTTTATTTGTACAAACAAAGAGATATAAATGTTTGATCGGCGATTTCTAAGTGGAGGGACCAAGGTCAGTTATACCGGTAGTTCGTTTAGTTTATTTAACGTATGACTGTACAAATTTTAAATGCCCCCCCCCCCCCCCGATCTATGCATGTGAAACATAACAGGGACGTAGCAACATTGGGGGGCCCGGGGGGCCTCCCCCCTACTTTTTTTCCCAACATTACCTTTACTATTGAAAATGTATATTGAAAGGATGGTTTCCCCCTCCTCCCCCCACTTCTTACCATAGTATAATGATATCAAGGATATGTATTATTGTGTGGAAAAAAATGTAAGTGAAAGGTAGTTGGCCTTATAAAAAAAGTTAGCCACTTACCCCTCCCCCTTCCCCCACGAAATAGGATTTTCGAGTTTGGGCTATTTCCTTTTTTTTGGCTTGTCAGCTTTTTCAGGTAAGTAAAAAAAAATTTTCTTTGGTTGCCCCCCCCCCCCCCCCAATTTCAAAAACGATGCTACGTGCCTGCATTATATCATACAGAGATATACATCTTGAATTTGAGGAAATTTTAAACTATAGAATATAATGGAAAACGGAAATTTATTTTCAAAACATCTTTCTCTGCGAAACGACAAATCTTTTTTATTATTATTCTCTCTTCAAGGGTGACCCCCTTGGAAAAAATGTCCTGGATCCGTGCCTTTTTTTCCCCTTTTTTTTTTGGTGAAAATTCATATAAATATCAATACAAATATAAAATTTATTCAAATATGTGTGGCAGTTGGCAGTAAGTAGTCAGCAGTTGGCAGTAAGCAGTTGGCTGTCGTATATGGCATTCCATAAACATCAATATAAATATAAAATTTCTTCAAATATATGTGGCAGTTGGCAGTAAGCAGTCAGCAGTTGGCAGTAAGCAGTTGGCTGTCGTATATGGCATTCCATATAAATGTGCATTAAGATTGCTAGCATTGTTTCGCAACAGACAGGGCAAGATGTTTTCTTTTTTATTACCAAAGTTAAAGTACCTTAATGCTACTTAAATTAAGTTGTAATAGTAGGTTTTTAAATGTATTGTATACAGGGACTAACATGTTTACATTGAAATCACCTAACAATGTCATCTCTGTATCTAGAGCTCTTTCTACAGTACTTGTAAATTTATCCCTAAAATCAGAACCAGAGTTGGGAGGTCTGTAGATGACTCCATCCAAAAACTTTTGATATTTTGACTGGATCTCTGCCAATAAAAAATTTTAATATCAGAAAAAATTTAAATCGTTTTTGAAATGTTTAACGCAACTCCTCGACCACATCCATTTCTGTCTTTTCTATCTGGTCGATAATAACCATCTAGTGAAAGAATACTATTGTCAATACTCAGATTTAAGTGAGTTTCAGTAATGGCAATTATATCATTTCCTGATAAAATCCTTTCTAGTAATATCAAGTTTTGGAAGTAAACTATATACAACCAAAGCTTCAAACGAGTTTTTCTTATATCCTATGTTGCTTGTCGTTTGTCCATCTATTTCTCAAAGACGAAATAAGTACACAAAAAATAAACACTTACGAACAAAATATGGTTGTGTTAATTGTATACAAGTCGAATTTTTTGTTTCTTTTTGTTTTTTGTTTATATTTGTTCGTTTGTTTGTTTTAGAATGATCAAACGATGCCCATAACGTGCTCGATTTGCCAGAAAGTATGTGCAAATCAACGTGGACTAAATATACATATTTCAAGAAAACACAGGCAGGATGGAATCACTGATCATGGAGGGAAAGCCGACAAAGGTACCACTGTCCAAGGCTATTGTTCTGGAATTACCGAAAATCACGAGTCCAATTTCAATGAAGAAATTTATGACACACATCGCCAAAGACCATCAACTATACATCACCAAGGACCACATATTATAGAAGGAAATGATGACAAACATCGCCAAAGACCATCAACTTTTGATAGCAAGCATCGCCGAGGACCATCAACGATAGAAGAAAATGAAGAGAAATATCGCCGAAGAACATCAACTTTAGAAGAAAATGATGAAAAACATCGTGTAAGAATAAGATACATGCATTTCTTTCCCTTTGAGGCCCTGATAGCAGGATTAGCTGCTCAATTAAACATTAAGAAAGATTTATAACTTTGATTTTTTTTATATGCTTCTATATGTGTTGTAGGTGCATGTTGAGTCAGATCCACAATCATATCTACCTGATTTCAATTCATTAATGATCTTTTAGCCAACAACGAATCTCTGAATATATATATCACCCTGAAATCACTGTAGGTGTGCATATAATGATTAAGTCAGTAGATTCTTTTGCATTATTATCCATTTAATGAGCGTTTTTGAGAGCATCAAAACAATTAAAAAGCTTCATGATGCAATGCATCAGCCTATTAAGTTTTAAGTCTGCAATAACACTAGTATTTCCAAGGGTTGAAAATGTACGGATCTGCTTAGCGTACTTAGCCTAAACTTATCTTTTTTAAAACGTTAAAAGTATTGTCTTATAAATTAAAAAAAAATATTAAAAAGATTATTTCATATACTGTAATCACTTTAAGAGATAACATATTTACATTTATTTATCATTTATTTCATTTGCATTCGACTAAAATGTCTTGTATGTTTTTATGTGGGGTAAATTTGACTTTGTAATATAAGAACAATGTAAATTAAATTAAATTCGCTGTGTTGACGAGCTCGAGAGTTCAAAAACGTTTAAAGAGTACATCTACATGTACTTCGATCCTGCTTGGGTATTGAGGTTAATTTCTTCATTAAGGGCAAAATAAGTTAGAAGTTACATAAAAATGGTGTGCAAAATTATACTTATTTTAATGTTCTCGTTTAGACTGAGAAAGCAACTCCTGCAACGTGCGGAATTTGTCAGAGGGAATTTAAAAATGAACGCGGACTAAGCGTACATATGTCAAGAAAGCACAAGCAGGGAGATAGGCATGACCATAAAGAACCTCGCCGAATTACAACAACGATAGAAGACAATGATAATAAACATCGACCAAGACCATCATCGATAGAAGAAAATGATGATAAATATCGCCAACGAAGATCATCTATAGAAGAAAATGATGATAAACTTCGCCGAAGACCATCGTCGATAGAAGAAAATTATAATAAACATCGCCGAAGAACATCGTCGGTAGAAGAAAATGATGATAAACTTCGCCGAAGAACATCGTCGACTGGAGGGAAAGATGAATCCACAGAAAAAAGTGATGGGAAACCAAGCCCTCGCTCTACAGTTGAAGATGACAGAAAATTTCCAACAGTGAAACGTATGCATAATGCCTGTTGTTCCCATTGTGGCGACGCAGATGGAGGCTCTACAAAATCAAGACTTTTAGAAAACCACATATCAATTACGTCACCGTCAAGTGAGTCCAATAGTGTTTTATCAATTTTTTTAAATTTAAAAATATTAACCATTTTTTAAACAAAAATATTTTGAATATTATGATATAGTGTCTTCTTTCCTTTTCACATAAAGGTTTAAGCTAACCAACTTCAGTGTATAATTTACAGATTCGAGTCTACCATTTCATGTGACAAACGTAACAAAGTACATAGCAATGCTCGAAGGAGAAATTAAAATTCGAAGAAAAGATAACGCGTCGACAAGAAAAGGGGTCAACGAATTCATTGAAAGTTTAAATAAAGCAATGGACGGGATTTCAAATATTCCCTTGAAGATGCTCAATTCTGGTTCTTACTATGACAAAACATCGGTGAGTGGTATGGCATTCTGTTCTAACTATAACAAAACTACGGTGAATGTTACTGTATTCAGTTCTCACTATGACAAAACTACGGTAAATGGAACTGTATTCGGTTCTAACTATGACCAAACTACGGTAAATAGTACTGTATGCGGTTCCCATTATGACAAACTACGATAGGTATTACTGTATTCGGTTCTCACTATGGCAAAACTACGGTAAATAGTACTGTATTCAGTTCTCACTATGACAAACTATGGTAAGTATTACTGTATTCGGTCCCCACTATGACAAAACTAGGGTGAGTGTTACTGTATTCATTTCCCACTATGACAAAACTACGGTTGGTAGTACTGTATTCGATTCCCTCTATGACAAACTATGGTCAGTATTACTGTATTCGGTCCCCACTATGACAATCTACGGATAGTGGTACTGTATTTGGTTCTCACTATGGCAAAACTACGGATAGTGGTACTGGATTCAGTTCTCACTATGACAAAAGTACGGTTAGTGTTACTGTATTCGGTCCCCACTATGACAAAACTACGGTTAGTGTTACTGTATTCAATTCTCACTATGACAAACTACGGTTAATATTACTGTATTCAATTCTCACTATGACAAACTACGGTAAGTGGTACTGTATTTGGTCCCCACTATGACAAAACTAGGTTTAGTGTTACTGTATTCAGTTCTCACTATGACAAAACTAGGGTTAGTGTTACTGTATTCAATTCTCACTATGACAAAACTACGATTAATATTACTGTATTCAATTCTCACTATGACAAACTACGGTAAGTAGTACTGTATTTGGTCCCCACTATGACAAAACTAGGGTTAGTGTTACTGTATTCAGTTCTCACTATGACAAAACTAGGGTTAGTGTTACTGTATTCAGTTCTCACTATGACAAACTACGGTTAATATTACTGTATTCAATTCTCACTATGACAAACTACGGTAAGTGGTACTGTAATTGTTTCTCACTATGACAAAACTAAGGTTAGTGTTTCTGTATTCAGTTCTCACTATGACAAAACTACGGTTAATATTACTGTATTCAATTCTCACTATGACAAAACTACGGTTAGTGGTACCGTATTCGGTTCTCACTAT